GGCAAAGTTCAATTTAAATCAGAGCGTACCTATTCACAAAAGGTGCTTTTCGGCTGGGAGGCTTCTATTTATGCATGTACATTTGCAACAATGAGAGAAATCAATATTTCGGCAGGCGGTTTTCTATCAGTGGCGAGCCGATTGTTGTTAGTGCGTTTATAATATGGTGCTGGCAAGTTCATCGCAAGGCTGTTTATAGTGTCAACTCAATAAAGGCAGAATGTTATCGCTGATGGGTAATTTTAGGTGCTGTAACAATGATGCAAGAGAAGGACAGGTAGAAATGAGGCAAAATTACTGACGGTTCAGGTTTTCTTTTATTGAAAGCGAAATAACTGAAGGTAGCCTGTCAATGTTTGCTGATCGTTTGCCCACCACTTCAACATAAAATACTTCCCGAATATTCCGAGTCACGACTTAGCTGATATCGAACTATATAATGTCACGCGGAATGACACGCAATGCCGATTGCGGCTGCGACGAGCATATTAATGTCCGAGTATGGGGGTGGCTGTAAATTGCAAGTATTTATACATATTCGGCATAAGTATTGCAAATCATAATAGCCGATATTATATGGTATCAATAACACAAATGAAGGGGGCCTGAAGTTTAAATATGTATTTAAAATATTGTATTACTCACATTGTTGTCAATAATACCAATTTCAGTATTATTATTATTTTTGTTTATTTCATTGCAGCAGAAGGTAAGGTTGTCAGGTAGGAATGCCCGGGCATTAAGGCTGGTTCGAATTTTCACTTTGCCTTAACATGTTGATGTCTGCTTTTGATGGAATATTTCGATCATTAAAAATCAGTCGATGAGGGGACAATACTTTTTGTAAATGGTGTTGTTATCACCCAGCAAAACAGAATAAATTGAGTGAAGGGATAGAGTTCGAATATGTGGCCACAAACTGCGACAGCCTAAAGATGCTTCAGTCCGAGGTCATCGAGTTTGTACTAGCTGAATAAACGCAATGCCTACCTATAGGAGTTTACGGATGAAGCAATTTTCGGTAAAGCCATGAAAAATTGAAGAACAGTTAATATCTACGAATAGATATCAAGGGCAGTCGAAGACATACCAGCGAATTGAAATTGTAGCGTTCCATTGTTCATATTTGTCGAAATTTAATAGATGTGGTGAATTTGGCAACAGGCCACGAAATGGGCCGGAGGTCAGCGTACCAACACCACAAATCGAATGAAGCGGAAAACATGAACATGTACTACATGGGTAAGATCACTTTTCACATAAAGCTGCCGATCGTCATTATCGGTAGAAGCCAGACAGTCATTGAGGTATCACGCGGTCTAAAGTCTCGAACACTGGCTGCAGGTCGGTAGCTTTCCATAATTTTATCAGTTTCATGACGCTACTATTTTACAACAATAGTCAGTGAAAGCGTTTCGTTTTCGTGTCATTAAGAATTTGATACTATCGAGGTTACCTTGATTATGGCCTGAAGACAGCTACTTTCGAAAAAGTCTACTGTGCTCAGATTTCGAAAATTTGTAGCCGAGCCGCCAAATATTACTTGCTCGTCGGGCTCGCAGATTATAATACGACGATACCCTGAAGAAAACGAAGCCAATGCAGTGATTTCGGTTGAATATTGGCGAAGTCACATATGCGTACGAAGAGCCATGAACATACAGCATATTTGGAACAGCTTTGAACAACAACAGGATTTCAAAATGATGCGCCACACCGATGCTCGGTGTCTTCGATATCTCATACCGAGCCATTTTATCATTTAACATACAATGTTTTCATGTGTTTGAAATGGGAGTTCTGTCAACAACCGAATAATTCATGATTATGATTAGTTTGATCAATACTGAGTAGTAACGGTAAATATTCTGTTCCCGACATGTTATACTGACCAGTGGGAAGTTATGAAAAGGTTATCAGTACACGATTTACCGAGCATATATATTAGCACGTTTATCAATATTTTGAATTTCCTGGCAGTCACTAAAGGTTATTTATCACACTGTTTCATTTGAAGCTATGGGTCGTGGAATCAGCTCATCAACGAGTCCAATATGAGCCGTATATCATATCCAGCGTAGCTATGACAACATCAATGAATTGCCATTCCTTCGAAAATAGTATCACTGCTCAAAGTTAAAAACTTATGGCGACTTTAGAAGAAAACATGTATTATTGTCGAATCGCCAGTATGAGCGCAACGGACTCGTTGGGAAAAACATATTCATTTATTTATTTATTAGTTTATTATTTATTTATATTTATTTGTTTAGAGTAATATAGTTCAGAGAATAGATTATAATCAGTAGATGGCTTTTAATGAAATACAGATTAGAAATATAGATTCAAATAGCCAGAATGCGAGATACGTTAAAGTGATTTTTAAACTTTAAATAATGCTGTTTTCGGTATATTATTTCAGAGCTTTAATTCTGAATCAATATTTTTAACGTTAAAGGAAAATTATGGAATTTTGTAATTTATAGAATGGAATTAGCTTGTGTATTGAAAATGTTTACAAAATTATAGCTCATGACACAACAATAAAATAGAGATGTTAATGAAATGGTCAAATAAATTATTGAATTTTGCAAAGTCTATTGTAGTGTAATGTTTTTAGAGTTAATAACTATATTTAATATGTATACTAAATAGCCAGTAGTGTTGAAATTAAAAACGAAACAAGGATGATTATCATCAAAAGACATGGATAATTGTCATGTACACAGACTATCAGTCAGCATATTAAATTGATTTTACTGGTAGGCATGTTGGTTGTTGCTGGCATACAGCGAGCGTGATATTGGTCAGTCAATATTGTCAGCAGATTCACCGGTATGACAGAGCCAAACCGACATTCTTGAGATTCACACGAACGAATGCGGGCCCAGGTTCATCGATTAGAAATGGTTTGTCAGAGTTTGAAAGCTCAGTATTGCTGGAAGGGTATCGGCGCGAGAACAAAGTAGGTGGATTACAACAAAAATCATATGAATTCAGCATCATTAGAGCGAAGGTCGGGATAGTGAAGAAAATGAATGATAGCCGCCACCAAACATAAAGAAGACCAGTCAGTTCGGTCTTATAATAGTTTCGATATCAAGAAAGGTTACAGATAAACATGCAATATCACCAGCAAAAGTGAAATTCACTGGGGAAGAGCTTTACCCCATTCGAGTTTATGGGTTGTTTTCGGTTTTATAGAAAGAGATCAATAGGCGTAAATAAAAACACACAGTTAAAATATAACAGCGCTTGTTGCACGCCAAAATATACCAGATTACAATGCTAAAATATAATTGTTATTAATGTATCAGTTTTTAAAATATTTATAAACCATTTTCATAGCAAAATCTCAGTAATGGAAGATATTATATGAAAATACATTGTCGCATATATCCAATGGACAAATATTATGTGGTTTTACAGCATCTCATGCAGCTGTTGATGTAATGTATTGTGACATTTAATTACATTGAGTTATATTGATGTCGCCGTATTTCAGATAGTTGATGATATCATACTGTTATTTCAGCGACTTAGTTGTCTTCGTTGAGTTTGAATATGAAATTCAATGTTTTCAGTCAATATCGACATTTTTAATCATATATTTATTTATCTGTTAATAGACATACCAATGGTTGTATTATTGTGCTTATCTTTTAAAATATTAACAGTATTTTAGATGACGCAGGTATTATTTTGTTTGTTCAATTACTGTATGATTTTCATCTGCTTGTCAGCTGTGACAAGAACGTTTGGTTTGTTTTTCTGTAACAAAATATATTTCAAATCTCAACAGTCTAATCAAAATCGTTTTCGTCTAAACTATATGAAATCGACCGTTTACTTGAAGAAAATCATAAATCCAATAAAATTCAAGAAAAACAAACGGAAACAATACAATTAACATGTGTACAAATAACTGAGCAAATGACAAGATCTGAAGAATCATTACAATTAATTGAAGATAGAAGCGTTGAAAAGATAATACCTGCTATACTCAGTCGTCTTAGTACTGTTGAAACTTATTTTAAAGATAAGCATAATGTCTTCAGCCATTGGACATGCAATGCGTTCTTGGCGTTAAAAATAAATATATGATTAAAGAAATGTCGATAGTGACACAGAAACATGGTCAACTCAGCATTGGATTTTAAACATTCAAATAACAGGATAACAAGAGTCGTAAAACCACAACAAGTGGCTGGAACGTAATTATCATCAACTATCTATAGAATACGGCGATCGAGTATGAAGAACTCGGAAGAATATTGAATTCATTAAAGTTCACATGCATTTACGTCAAAGGCGAACAGAAAAACAAGTTCTTATGGAGTATATACATGTGGCACTCATCAACATTGAAGACTTGGGCTGCCCTCGTTTAGATCAAATATGCGCTGATGAAACTACCTTGTTGTATTTTTCATATGGATTTTAATCCTAAACAATGTACATTTTATAAAGTTTTGCTATAAGAAAATGGTTTATAAAATTTTTAAAAAATTGATTACATTTAATAAACAAAATTATATTTTTAACATTTAATAATCATAATTATATTTTAACATTTTAATAAACATGATTATATTAACATTGTGTGTTTTTTTTTTTTTATACAAAAGTCAATCGTCCTCGGGTTCATCTTCCCTATAAAATTAAAAATATTATAAATAAGATAAATTAAAATATACAATTATGTTTAACTCACTTTATAGAGTAGTGTCCGTGAGCCAAGGTATGTATTTTATCCTCAAGTATAACCCTCTTGTCATCGAAACTATTATAAGTTAATTTGTTTGTTTTAATGGTCTTCAATTTATGTTTGAACGAGCGTATCGATACATTTTCTTTATATATCCCGACGCCGGCTTCACCAAACAGACATCTGTAATGGTCTTTAAAGTTCATATGGTTTTTGACCACATGTCCACGGATTCCTTTCGCCCTGATACTCTCCTTGCCATTGATCTTATATGCATAAGACTTGGCTCTGAGAGCACAAAACTCTGTCATTATTTCTGATTTTGTTTCATCGGAAAACAGACCTGGAATTTTCTTTCGTTCGGCAATGTAACACGGATGATCTTGCGGTAAGTCAGATGTATTCATTCGTTCAAGTAAATTGGAATTATTCTCCAGATCTTTGTAAAAATCATCAGTTTGAATATAATATACCAGTGAATCTGTAATAATGTTATTTATTAATATACACATATATATATATATACAGTAGAGTAGTTTTAATATATTTACCTGTGTCTGTGTACATGAGCTCAATTTTATCATTATAATGCGCCTTCATCACATTATAATGATAATCGTACATGACAGTTTTTGAAATTTCCAACACTGCAAAACCTGTTTAAAATTATACATATTAAAATATAGTTATTAATACTAATTTAAAAGTGTTTATTACCTATATAAATAGGCTTGCAAAATTCAATAATTTTATTTTCCAATGATACGACATTAAGAGTTTCATTGTATGTAGTACAGTGTTTGAATGTCGTAAGGTTTATGAGTTTTTGTAAACGTTTTTCATTACAAACAAGTTCCATTTTTTTTCTCCGTCTTACAGATTCCATAGTTTTCCCTTTAACGTTACAGAAAATGTTAGTTAAAGAATTTTAAAAAAAAAATCACAAATAAATATACCGAAAACAGCATTATTTAAAAGTTTAAAAAAATCCTTTTCGAAATCGTTTCTCGCTTTCTTGCGCATTTCAGTATTTAAATCTATGTATTTCTTAAGCCAGTCTGACTGATTAAACTGAACAACTCTGTGAACCTATAATTAAACAAAAATATGTTATAAATAAATAAATAAATAAATAAATAAATAAATGAATATGGTACTTTTTCCACAACGAGTCCGTTGGCTATAGCCTGCTGTAGGTTCCGGTAATGAATTACATAGTTTTTCTTTGATTCTAAAGTCGCCATAAGTTTTTTAACTTTTGAGCCAGGTGGAATACTATTTTTCGAAAGGAATGGCAATTCATTATGTTTGTCATGAAGTACACTTGGATATGATATATCAACCTCATATATCCGTCCGATTGGTGATTTATCGTGTAAATTATTTAAGCCCCTTATTGCTGGTTCAACCCACTTAAAGCCTCCGTGTGGCATGAATTGTGACATCGCGTAACCATACAAATTGTTACCTAGAATTTAAAATAATATATTAAACGATATATATATATTAAATCATTGTATACTTACAATCCTGATAAACAAGCCATGATTTCGGTTTCGTCGAGTCATAATCTGGTGTCTTTTCATTATTAGCCTTTGCATACCTCATGCTTGCCTGAGTCAATCCACCCCGAATTCCTATAACGACATCAGAATAAATTAACCAACACATTTTTTTTTTTTTTTTTTTATAAATAATCTCGTTACTTTTCTCAAACATGATCAAAATGTCATAATCATGAATTAATTCCAGTTGTTGGCCAGTGTATTTCAACATACAGTCAAAACTAAATCCAGGTGCTGTATAGTAAAATGATGGGTCAAGGTGGTAAGTGGTTATACAGAGGTCTCGAAAATTTTCAAACACATCAGTCAACAATAGCACATCGATTTTTAAATAAAGGTCAGAGTATTCCCCTAGTGTTTGACAGTCGAAATGGATCCAAACTATCTTTGCATGTTCATAATCTTCATTTTTTATATGTGATTCTTCCAATAAACTGTAAAAATCTACTTTTGCCGGTAAACTGGTTTCTTCAAGTTTATCCCAGTCATCTGTATAATCATACGGGTATACCCCTTTACGGGTGACTAGTGGTAAATCCTGTGTAGAAAAATGTTTGGCACTATTTCTAAATTTTTCAAATCTGGGCGTAATTAAATTTTTTGAAAGTGTTGATAAACTGGAGGCTATAAATCTTATAGTGAAGGAGTTGCTAATGTATTTTGAAAACGAAATAAACTTTTCTTCACTGTTTGGTATTACCGAAATAGAATTTGTATTATAGCCAAGACTGGTGACAATAAAATGTGCGTCATAATTTGATAAATTATGGAAAAATACCGGTACGAAGTTGGGTGTTCGAAGTTTAAGATTACACGTATTACATAATGACTGTCTAAATTTTCCTGATAAATGGCAATGATCAGCAACTTTATGATTTTCTTGAGAAAACTTGGTTTTACATAAATTACATGTAGTACATGATTCATGTGTTTTTCGCTGTTCGGTTGTGTAAATTATGGGGGTGTTTGTTTTTAGCAATTTTTCAATTTTTTCTGCAATTTCGACAATACTGTTTATAAAATGTTCCGCCACATCCTTATTATTTTCATTTCCACGATAAATTATAGGTGAAATTGGAATTCTGAATTTCTCAAGCAGTTCAACGGGTATGTCTTCATTTGCCTTGACAATAAATCCATAACTCATGGCTTCGTGTTCTTGAAAAGCTGTTGTTTTATTTCCAATTTTCTCATCGCTTTTCTTGAGAATTGCTTCAAAATCCGCATAAATCACTATAGGATGACGTTGCGTTTTATTCCATTCAGTAAACTTGAGCATTGATCCTGGTTCAGGCATCTTAGGTAATATAGGTTTGTGTTCCCCACATATTAATTTATGCTGCTCTAATCCAGCTACTCCGTTTAATTTAAATTTGTTTTGCTGATTATCGAATGATGTAAAGCACCGTTTGCAAAAAATTGATTGTCCATCATGTTTGGTTTTTTGTGTTCGAATAAGTCGTGAAAAATTGGAGATGTAGATATAGTGACTGTTATCTTCGTTCGATATTAGTAATAAGTCAAAATGATCGGGTTTTTCTTCATGTACTACTTTCAGAGGAAATATTTTATATTCCGGAAATTTTGGTGGTTGAAATTGTTTATCGAGACCGTAAACATTGACAGACACGTTCGGATTATTTCTTTCAAAAATGTTTACTTGATGGAGAGGCGTTGGGAAAGTGAGGCCGTCGAAATTGTACTTGTCCAAATGTTTTTTGTAATTTTCTCCTACACAATATTTATATTTATCCGTTGTCACATGCCTCGCGAGAATTGCCCACATGAAACATTGCTGGTCTACATTTTGTGGGTTGATGGTGGCCCGCTTCCTATCGATAAACGCAGGCAATTCAATATATGATGAACCGCCCATCGGCGTATATTTATAAACACCTAACAATAATCCGTCTATACACTGAAATGTAAAGCCACTGCCCTTGCCGGAATATTCAGTTTCCTCTCTCATTAACTTTGCAAATGCTTCTTCGACGATTTCTTGTACGCCAGTATCAGTGAAAACCTCCCTAGCCGAAGTTTTAAAAGCACGGTTTTCGGATGAATATTCTTTGTGCGGGATATTATACGTTGCTTCTAGTTTTAAATTAAACTTTATAGGGTGTTTGCTCGCAATTGATTTTAATAGATTGACTAGTTCAGATTTAATCAGATCTAAGAAGTATACATAGTTTTTTATACAATTGGTATTTTTAACGTAATACCAGGTGATTGTACGATTCGAGGACGTCGATATTTCTACAAACCCAGGGGACTGTACTAGATTCAAGCGCGCTTTTTTAGCAATTATAGCTGACTTTGTGTTGGCTGAGGAAACACGTTTACCGTTTTCACCCGTAGTATATGAATCTTAAAAAAAAAAAAAAAAAAACCTAGTCAGTCTATACCCCGTCTATAAAAAAATTTAAGTTACTAACCTTCATTATCGCAGAGTCCAAGATTTTCAATAATGTTTAAAACTTCTATACATTCATCGTCACCAAGGTTCGAAAATTCGTCCATCGCGTTATCTTGCACTGTTGATACGGGAGCAGTTTGGATGAGCGGTTCTGTGGTATCTCGTACGGAAGACCCTCCAGCCGGTATATCGGGAACGAAAATGTTTGGCGCGATTTGAATATTTTCTATCAGCGGTGCTGGAATGCCATCTAGTGATAAATATTATATAAATAAATATTTAAAGCCGAATACAAAAATACGTACCATGATATTTTTTTAAATGTTTTTTGAGGTTGGACTTGTAACTAAACGTTACAGCACAAATTGTACACGGGTAACGCAGACCCGTGTGCGTTTTTTGGTGAGCCAACAAATTACGTTTTGCCGTGAACTCTGAAGTACATTGATCACATTTAAACAATCTTAAATGTGATTTTCGGTGAGCGATCAAATTATTTTTGTAGCTGAATCTCAAAGGACATTGTTCGCATTGAAACATTTTTAAAATATATATGAAAAACACACACAAAAACAAAAATAATACGATTGCGTGAAATACAAACTAACCGACTGTTAGGTGTAAATAATTTTAAATAAAATTCGAAAAAAAAAAAATATACGTGAGCAACGGTTGAAGGTAGTACACAGACTAAACGAAAAATCAAAAGTCTCTTCATTGACAAAGAGAGGGTTAAGAAAGGGTAAGAAAGGGTAAAGAGTGTTACTTTCTTTTACAAAGGTATCTGTCGCCAAAGAACAACGCCGCCGCCTACACTCGAACAATATAGAAATCGGTCACATCCAATAAATTATCAATGACAAAAACGGACAGATTATAACGTAAAAGAGTGTTTCTTATACAAAGGAATCTATAACAAAGATGAGCATACCCGTATCGGCAGTGTATGAGCACCAGTATTCTTTAACATTTTCTACACTGCGGTCAGCGAGCGCTTAACGCGATATTCACCCCGTGATTTAATTGTTATACTTTTTACATATAAAATTATTTTTTCGTTAGTTCAGTGATATATCGCATATACAATTTTTTATTTACCACCAATTACTATTATTTTGTTAGTGATTATCACATCTTTCGCCTGGAAAACGTAAGTTTTTTTTTTGTTTTTTATACATTATTCATAAATTATTCGAGGCCTACGTATAACTTGATTTTTAGATGTCGGATGATTCGTCGTCTAGTATGCCGTGGTTTAACGGAGGTATCTATAATAGAGTTCTTGCAGCGACACCTCCAGAAGATTCTCCACCTGATTTTTTTTATTCGCCAGAGAGAACGTTTGTATTAGTAAGTATATATTATATATATATATATTTTTTTTTTTTAATATTATATTTAAATTATTTATAAAATTTGCATAATTTGGTTTTTAGAGGAATAATAGACCGTTACTAAGACCCATTACCCCAATTACTCCGATACCCGATTTCACTCCGATACGCAATTTCACTCAGGACGGACAACGGTTTAGGTTCTCGCAGTTGAGTCCTCCTGCATTACAGGGCATACCCTTTAGATATTCAGAGATGGTAAGTTTTAAATAAAATTATTATTTAGACTCAATATAATATTAGATAATTTTTTATTTAGACTCAATCCGAAGATAGTGGACATTTTACAGCTCAAGAGTCACGGATTGAAAATAATTGCATCGTGGTATTATCACCATCTCCATCTCCAAGACCGGGTACATATGCACAGAGCCTAATAGACAATATGTTATATTCTCCTTCGCCACCACGAGAATCGCAAATGGATGAATGGCTTCGCTCGTTGTCGCCAGACATGTTTCAACCCACAACACCAGTAGCATACACACCGAGTTCGAGGAACAGCGTGGTATTTTTTCCTTCGCCACAAGTACAATCACAGCTGGATGTATGGCAACGGTCGTTGTCACCTATTACACCAAGTATATTGAACATAGTATGTCCTCCTGAATATGGTTTACTCACTTACGGGAGGTTATATTCACCCCACCGAAATGAAGCAGATTGGGCGGAGGATGGATACAACGACATCCTGGTCGTTCATATGCTTGCAATTGAAGAAGAATGGTACAAGGACGGAGCTGATGACATTTTGAATCAGCATATGGATGCTTATGAAAACCGTAAAAGAGAATTTCGAAAACACTAATTTTTTTTTTTTTTTTAAATTAATTTCATATTTTTTTAAAATATATTTCATATTTTGTTATAATATATTATGATTTACAATAAAGCTAATATTTTATTTATAAACATAATGTTAGCATGATAGTTATTTATATATATAATAGTAATTTTTAAATTTATATGTATTGGTGAGGTGACTGTTTAACGCACACCCCGATAAAATAATATTTTGATAACAAGATAAGTGATAACGGTGATATATTTT